ATCCATTTTTCTTCTAACTAATCTATCCATCTTTCTTTCTTAACAAATCTATCCATCTTTCTTTCTACCTAATCTATCCATCTTCTCTCTAACAAATCTATTCCCATTTTTCTTTCTAACTAATCTATCCATCTTTCTTTCTAACAAAATCTATCCATCTTTCTTTCTACATAATCTATCCATCTTTCTTTCTACCTTAACTAATCTATCCATCTTTCTTTCTAACAAATCTATCCATCTTTCTTTCTAACAAATCTATCCATCTTTCTTTCTAGCAAATCTATCCATCTTTTTTCCTAACTAATCTATCCATCTTCTTTCTAACTAATCTATCCATCTTTCTTTCTTACTAATCTATCCATCTTTCTTTCTAACTAATCTATCCATCTTTCTTTCTAAATAATCTTATCCATCTTCTTCTAACAAATCTATCTTTCTTTCTTTTACCTAACTAATCTATCCATCTTTCTTTCTAACAATTCTATCCATCTTTCTTTCTAACAAATCTATCCATCTTTCTTTCTAAACTAATCTATCCATTCTTTCTTCTAACAAATCTATCGTTCTTTCTTTCTACCTAAGTAAATCTATCCATCTTTCTTTCTAACAATACTTTCTTTTCTTTCTTTTCTTCTTTCTTTCTTTCTTTCTTTCTTTCTTTCTTTCTTTCTTTCTTTCTTTCTAACAAATCTATCCATCTTTCTTTCTAACTAATCTATCCAGCTTTCTTTCTAACAAATCTATCCATCTTTCTTTCTAACTAAATCTATGCATCTTTCTTTCTAAAAATTCCTTCTTCTCTTTCGTTCTTTCTTTCTTTCTTGATGCTAATAACATGCTAATCATGCTAGCTTTCTGCTAATCATGTTAGCTTCTTGTTAAAAACATGCTAGCATGATGCTAGCTACATGCTAATCATGCTAGCATGATGCTAGCTACATGCTAATCTGCTAGCTTCTTGCTAAAAAACATGCTAGCATGATGCTAGCTACATGCTAATCATGCTAGGCATGATGCTAGCTACATGCTAATCATGCTAGCTTCTTGCTAAAAACATGCTAGCATGATGCTAGCAACATGCTAATCATGTTATTATGATGCTAGCTACATGCTAATCATGCTAGCATGATGCTAGCTACATGCTAATCCTGCTAGCTTCTTGCTAAAAACATGCTAGCATGATGCTAGCAACATGCTAATCATGTTATTATGATGCTAGCTACATGCTAATCATGCTAGCATGATGCTAGCTACATGTTAATCATGCTAGCTTCTTGCTAGCAACATGCTAATCATGCTAGCATGATGCTAGCTACATGCTAATCATGCTAGCTTCTTCCTAAAAACATGTTAGCATGATGCTAGCAACATGCTAATCATGCTATTATGATGTTAGCTACATGCTAGTCATGCTAGCTTCTTGCTAAAAACATGCTAATCATGCTAGCTTGATGTTAGCTACATGCTAATCATGTTAGCTTCTTGCTAAAAACATGCTAGCATAATGCTAGCAACATGCTAATCATGCTATTATGATGTTAGCTACATGCTAATCATGCTAGCTTCTTGCTAAAAACATGCTAGCATGATGCTAGCAACATGCTAATCATGCTATTATGATGTTAGCTACATGCTAGTCATGCTAGCTTCTTGCTAAAAAACATGCTTATCATGCTAGCTTGATGCTAGCTACATGCTAATGATGTTAGCTTCTTGCTAAAAACATGTTAGCATGATGCTAACAACATGCTAATAATGTTATTATGATGCTAGCTACATGCTAATCATGGTAGCATGATGCTAGCTACATGCTAATCATGCTAGCTTCTTGCTAAAAACATGCTAACATGATGCTAGCAACATGCTAATCATGCTAGCATGATGCTAGCTACATGCTAATCATTCTAGCTTCTTGCTAAAACATGCTAGCATGATGCTAGCAACATGCTAATCAGGTTAGCATGATGCTAGCTACATGCTAGTCATGCTAGCTTCTTGATAAAAACACGTTAGCATGATGCTAGCAACATGCTAATCATGCTATTATGATGCTAGCTACATGCTAATCATGCTAACAACATGCTAATCATCTTAACTACATGCTAATCAAATTAGCATCAAGCTAGCTACATGCTAATCATGTTAGATTCTTGCCGAAAACATCTATCTATCTATCTATCTATCTATCTATCTATATCTATATCTATCTATCTATCTATCTATCTATATTTCTTTCTAACTAATCTATCCATCTTTCTTTCTTTCTTTCTAATCTATCTTTAAAACTTCATTCAAACTTCAAAACTTCAAACGCTCTGGTCCGGCTTTCTCAAGCCAACTTAAAGTTTGTCATCAAACTTTTTTTTCTAGTTGTTCACTAAATTAAATAACGGTTTTGTTTTGTTTCATACACAAAGCTATCAAAAACTTGGATTATAGCCCTGAAGTCATATAGATCACTTTTGTGGTACTTGTATAGGGTGCTTTTGCATTCTTTTTTTTAAGTTTGAAAGCTCCATGCTGCATTTTGATCATCAGGGATCCTATGCAGTGTTCGCGGTTCCCTTCTCTCTCTCTCTCTTGACAAAATGCATTAATTTTGAACACCCTGGCCTGCAATGTCATCAAACATAGACGACTCTTGAGTTTCGCAGATTAGAGGAGATTGAGATATAATAATAACAACAATAATAATAATATTCTTCTGTAAATAAATGCTGTATAAATTCCCATACTTTCATTTAATGTAGCCTACATGTGTATTTATATATGCATTTATTCATTTAATTAATATAAATTGTCATATTTTAAAGTGCTAAACTGCATGATAAATGTTTGTTTCAGTATGAAAATAAATTTTACCGTAATCATAATAGTTGCATTGTAACTTTTGTGTCTTTGGCACATTATTCCCACAAACAACCACATTCAAATCACACCTGGTATTACTTAAACTCATTAATAATGCTGGAGCCTCAGCTTATTTTCACTGTGGATGTTTTAGTCAAACTTGTTACAGTAGTGGTGTGATGCATGATGACAGGTGGGTAAATTTCCCTAGCCACTTCCAACAAAGTGTTGCATCATGATTCACTTTTTCCCTTTGCTGCAATCGCAGTGTCATTCAAACTAAACGTACACTATTTGAACTATTATGACACCTGACCATTACTCCAACAGGGACTGTAGTTACATTGCATTCTTTATACATAGGCTATACATTATTAAGATTTTGGTCCTCCCTTTAGTAACATACATTCCAAAAAATAAGATAAAGGAGTGGTGCCAATGTAAAAAAGTTACAAGATCACTAATCAGTGAGTACAGTCTCTTTTTAACAAGAAGCACTAGCTTAGTTTCAAATGTAAGTGGATGATTAGACCATATTGTGGTTTTGTTTGATTGGCCTCTGTGAGTATTAAACATAATTTCAAATATTAACTTAAAGGTTCTCTTCAAATAGAAGTGTTTCTGTAAATTCACGAGAGAGCTGAAGAAATACATTGACCTTGCTTTACAAAAACACATTTGTTTCTCACGTACATGAATGAATATATATATATATATATATATATATATAATTGTTCCTTTCTCCAGTAGAATGAGGTTTGAATGGTCTGTAGATAGTGCTGTTCCTATGCAGAAATGTGTCACCACCTCAGTGCTACTTGTGAAATTGCAGATACTGCTGGCATATGAAACGGTAGACTTTTTTTCTCTCTTTCTGTTGAAGGGAATAATATCTGTGATGTGCACAAACCTCTGAGGGCTTCTTATAATCTTGACATACTGCTTGGAGCGGATAGCAGGCTTCATTTTGATGAAATATCCTTAGAATGGAACGTTGAGTGGATTTTTCTTTCCTTATTTCTCCTGCATTACCTCTGTGGTTCAGCCAACAGATTGTGTAATTACAATATGATATTGAGGGAAAAATGGATTTCACTGAGGTTGTTAATTATGCAAACACAACAAATGAGCATCTGTCCTTTGGTTTTCCTCTAGGGAGGGCATCGAAGAGATTCTCCCACCCAATGCCCATCAGTTAGCCAATGAACGCCTCCATGTTTCAATAACGCACTCAAAGACATACAAGAACAGCATGGTGTCCAGCTTCACCTCAAGGGAAGATCTAATTAAGGTATTCATGCTTGAGGTCAATGGACAATGATTTATCTTTCAACTACCCGAGTGATTCCCATTGCCATCTGAAATTGTGAACAAATTGTGCTGGTGCTTCAGTTAGTCCATCTAACATAATGATAATGAAAAACCTCTTTTAAATATTCCACTGCCTCGGATTGGAATCTTCTCCAGACTGACGAGATTAAAAAATTAGTCAATTTTATTTTTTTATTAATCGAGATAACATCGAGATAAACATGTTATTATGCAAAGATGTTTTGTTTTTGTCGCAACTTTAATGTAAAAACTGTCAATGTAAACTCAGCTGTCTATCTTGGCCAGAGTACACTCATGTAAAGATTGTGGTAACACTTTACGGGAAGGGTACATGAATTATCATGAATTTATATATAAATTATTTATGCATTCATGCATTAATATTTCATGAATCAACAGGAACTAACACAAGTTCAACGTTTTTCATTCATGACTTCATTTAACCTTAATTAAAACATTAGCTAAGATGAGCACCTCATCATGAATTCTGATTTATTACGCATGATCATGATGTTTTCTTTGTTCACAGTTATGCCACAATTAATAGCACATTGTTCATGAGTGTTTCAAAGGACCTAGTCACCACTTTAGTTGAGGGGCCACACACATGATGAAGTCATTGATAGATAATGCTTAGTTCATGATGACTTCTGTATTTGAATTACAGAATCTGTGTGCTATGAGCTGTGATTGGTCTAATTTGTTGTCTGTCCAATACAGTAATCATCATTAACTAAGCATTAATCTATTAATGACTTCATCATGTGTGTGGCCCCTCAACTAAAGTGGTGACTAGGTCACTGACCTAGACTAAGAACAAAGAAAACATCATGATCATGCGTAATAAATCATAATTCATGATGATGTGCTCATCTTAGTTAATGTTTTAATTAAGGTGTTATTCATTCATTCAGTCATGAATGAAGAATACTGAACTTGTGTTAGTTCCTGATGATTCATGAGAAATGAATTCATGAATGAATGCATACAGTAGTTCATGATTTCATTTATACATAAATTCATGATAATTCATGTACCCTTAATCTCAGTGAGTCTTCTTTCTTGGTTAAATAAAGGTTTATCTTTTCTGGTATTCTTTCTGTTTGAGGGTCAATGATGCAATTATTATTAGTAGTATTATTATTTACAATTAATACAAAAAAACTTCAGGTCATTAATTTAATTACTTATATGCATGTGTGTGTGTGTGTGTGTGTGTGTGTGTGTGTGTGTGTGTTTATATATACAATTACTTGTATACATATGTGTGTGTGTGTGTGTGTATATATATATATATATATATATATATATATAAGTAATTGTATTACAGTCAGATTGCTAAACGACAGTGAGCACAACTGGAGCTAAATGTGCAAAACTTTAACTACAGTTTGCACTACCAACAGTCACCTGAGCACAACTCTTAACTAAGCGGCAACCTGCCCGTCTCTCTCTTGAAGCCAACACGGAAATGAATTAAACTGCAATTTATCGAGTGGCCGCTTGAGGCAGGCTGCAGAAGCGAGTCAAATCTGTATCTCCCCTATGTTAAAATGCCCAACTTTACAGCAGAAAAAAACATGTTTACAGCCTGGAGCAAAAAGTGGCTTTGGTCTATAGAGCTAATTTTAAATTATATTTAAGCCTTAAAGTTCTGCATAATTAAGGGCGTGGACACTTGAGTGACAGGTGGATTCTTGCCGCCGCGTTCACTGTCGTTTGTCTGCTGTCTGTTAGCGTCACCCTCAGCTGTGTTTGTGCTTTACTGGGATTATTTAATACATGTATTATACCTACATTTTATTTAATACATATGTTATACCTATACCTATATTATACAATTTAAAGGGGAAATGAAGCGGTGAATCAAGTTTACATGATTTACAAGATGGATTTCCAATATAATCAACATTTATATAAGAAACATTACAAATGTAAACATTTAGAAGAAAAAAAGAAAATGGCCGCCAGGGCGCCGCCATTGTGCTGTTGACGTCACGGGGTTGGTTGGCTCAAGTTTAACAGGCTCTGGGCATTGAAAATCGCGACATCAAACTGTCTTTACACCAGTGTTTTGACCGCAAACGACTAATGTTAGGTACAGATATTAGACAAAAAGATGACGTCTCATGTTATATGTTGACAAACTGCACATAGAAACATTGTTCGCGATGTCTGCCGTCAGATATTCCCGTCTCGTCAACACCATAAGTTACGTTGCTGTGTAGAACAGTCAGTGGTGGTTTGGGGCGGAGAGCGGGTTTGCAACGCTAACTTACCAGGTGTCAGTGTGGCTGTTGTCCTGCGATGCCCTCCGTGTCAAAGTCCATCTGTTGTCAAGAGGTTGATCTTGAGCATGTGTTGCGTGGTCAATTCTGCATCACCGGCGCGCACGTTTACCATGCTGTGCCGGGAGTTAGATGTGTGGAAGCGGCGATGCTTTCCCTGAAGGATGTCGGAGCGGAGACACTTTTTCCTAGTATATGTAGGCTGTAGCTAACGTTACTAGCACTACCAGTGCGGAAATATGGACGTTTCATTTCTCCTTTATCAAATATGTGCTAACTTGCATGTTATTGACGAGACGGGAATATCTGACGGCAGACATCGCGAACAATGTTTCTATGTGCAGTTTGTCAACATATAACATGAGACGTCATCTTTTTGTCTAATATCTGTACCTAACATTAGTCGTTCGCGGTCAAAACACTGGTGTAAACACAGTTTGATGTCGCGATTTTCAATGCCCAGAGCCTGTTAAACTTGAGCCAACCAACCCTGTGACGTCACCTGCACAATGGCGGCGCCCTGGCGGCGAAAGATACAAAGTTTTTTCTTTTTTTCTTCTAAATGTTTACATTTGTAATGTTCCTTATATAATTGTTGATTATATTGGAAATCCATCTTGTAAATCATGTAAACTTGATTCACTGCTTCATTTCCCCTTTAATACATGTATTATACCTTCGCCCGTGCACGCTGTTGGATTCCCTGGTGTTGAGTATGGAGAGAACAACTAGCGCTGTGTTTCCAGCTGTTTCCCTCGCATGCACTAATGGATGTCTGATGCTTTCAGATTTCAGTGTTTTCTCTCCGTCCATGCAATAGATGCACAAGTTACACCCTTGAATGAGCGTGGATTTCTAGTTCATTTACTTGAAGTTCTGAGGTAATATCTTCGGTTTGACCCATCTGAGAAACTGAGCGGCGGCCAAAATCAGATTGTAAAATGGACTGAATTAAAGCTCTTTACGAACTTGACGTGAGATCCCGACTGACGTGTGCTTGCCTTGAATCACTGTCACATGCACAAGCTTAGAGCAATCTTGTAAGTAACTAATACATTTTTAACTAGCGGAATAATAATGCATCACGATGCACATAGTTCACTGCTTGTATGTAAATAGTCTCACGTTTAGTTGCGTCTTAACTATTCTAATATGTCGAAGGGCAAAACATGAACTTTAAACATTGGCTTTACTTTTTCAATCAGCTGTCACTTCAGCGGCAGTAGCATAGCATTAGCACCTCAGCTCCACCCGCGTCCCGCCTCTTTGCCCATTTTAATTTTTCCGGTAGTGACGAGAGGTGACGCACTGCCAAGATGGCGATTCTTGCCATCTATTCTGCTCGTATTTAATTATGGCAACTACTGAAATGGGTCACACCATTTATTAATACCAGAGCACTGAGCAGTTGAAGTAAATAAAAAAGCTAGGCTCATAACATGGACTCAGTTTGCAATGGACGGAGCAAGAATGTTGTGTCTAAAATACATGCTCACAGTTCAATTAATGCTAAAGCTCTCCCTGTTTAACAATACATTTAAACTAGATATACGAAGCAAACTTTGTACAAAGCTGAAAAAACAGTGAAATAAGATCGCATGATTAATCTGTGAAATTAATCTGTGGATTAATCCATTTCGCTATATCTCACCATTTTGGGTAAAAATAGAAAAATACTTTGTAATGCAATTACTTGAGTAATTTTTAAGCAAACTACTTATTTACTCTTACTTGAGTCATATTATATTTAAGTACTTCTACGTGTACTCAAGTAAATTTTTAGTAGCAATACTTTTACTTACAATTTGTCAGTACTCTTTCCACCACTGCCCACAGTGTGTTGTTCAGGTTGTGGTTAAAGTCATGGGATAAGTGTGTAGAGTTTTGAAAACTGTTCAAGCAATGAGAAACGAACTAGAGTTTGGTCCGCATGAACTGCTGCTGTGCAGACTGGAGTTAGAGTTTTGCACATGTAGCTCCAGTTGTGTTGACTGTCGTTTAGCAATCGAAAAAAACTATACTGATCTGCAGGGTTTTTTTTTCACACACCTATTTCATTCTCCTTTCACATACATACATTTCTACTCTCACACTCATACATTCTCTTTTCACATATAAATACATGTCTGCTCTCACATACATGCATTCTCCTTTCACATACATTTCTACTCACACACACACACATACATTCTCCTTTCACATTTAGGCCTATTTCTTTCTTTTTTTGTATCCATTACTTCCTCTTTAAGCAGCTTTAAATAATCCTGTTTTTACTTTTTGGAGTAAGTAGCTATGAACATGAAATCAGACTTTCTGCACAATTTTTTATTTATTTTTTTCCCGCTGAAATGTATTGAGCAAATGCAAAGAGAAACAGATTATTTTGTGCATGATAGGCTGCATTGAGAACTTTATCACATTCAAAACCTATGTGGATTTCTGTCAGTCTCAAGATCTGTTGAGGATTCAAAGAAATAGCTTAGAGCAGCAGCAGTAAATACATTGGACTCCTTATATGGATGTCTAAATGTAGTAGTACGGACTTACAGCTTCTATACTCTTTGCCGTGGCTGGCTTGACTGACCAGACCTGACTTCCGTTACCATTTTACGCCTTCCGTTTCCACTACTCTCTCTCTCACACATATACATTATTCTCTTACATACACATTTTTTTTCTTCTTACATGATTTCCATTACACGAGAGTAGATGTTAAAACTTCATGCTGATTTGTACTCTGCTTTCGCAAAGATAAGCGCAAACTAATACGTAGCTGTATAGTAACCTATGCTTCTCCATCCATTTACACTTTATCTTTCCATATGGTGATCCATATTGTAATTGAATCGCCTTCTGTCCGGCATTAATGGCTGCATTGTACTTGGCACGGCTGCAACCACAGTGCGGTCTCCCCAGTGGACCAGCACGACAACCTAGATTGAGCCAACTAGGGGACATCTCTAGGGTCTTCAAGTGGGCACCTTCCGTCCTCAGTGTTTCGTCGACTAGCCCACGACAACTCAAGACATGGTATCCCAGAGTCACCCCTCTCCATGCCCCATTCAACTCAGCCCAGCTTTCTGACCTTTACATCCCTCCTGCTGCTGGGGTTGGTCTTTCCTTGTAGTTCACATGTGACCTAACCACAATCTCACACTCTCTCTGCAACCCAACCACACATGCGCCAACCCGTTTGACTAAGGCTATCGAGCCCCACTGTTGTTGTTAAAGCAGGTCAGTGGCAACGGTTCCGTATGGCATACTACCTACCGCAAAACACAATATCTGCCTAAACACCAACCCTCATTCACGCAATATAAACAGGAACGTAATAACAGTCATTTAATTTGTTAATTTGTTTTAAATTGTTTACTGCCTCTTTTGCTCATACTTCGAGTCCCTTAAATGACTAGATCCAAGCTACAAGCTTTAAAAATTAAAGATACTTTAAATAGTATTTGTTTATAGAACAGGAAAGCTAATTCTTGTGGCCACAGGTTGGTTTTTCCTGAAAGTCTATAAAGTAGGATGATATTGTGAGTTTTAATGGAGAATGTAAGAAGGTTTTAATAATGAATGTAATTAATTGCAATCAACTTGTGGTTGATTACCAAGATACACATGCATGCATGCGGGTAAAATAACATATCATCCCTTATCAGGAGATTTAATAATATGCAAGACTGATCTGATCCAAACCTGTATGAATAATTATTAATGAATTAATTATTATGAATTATTAATTATGATATGGAAATTCCCCATGATCGGATCTGCCCAGAGTCTTTACAAAGTAAATCTCTTATTTGCAAACTTGTTTGAGTTCTGTGTTGTATGTTGCTGCGCTGGCTTGTAGTATGTCATTTTTTACGGTGCTGTTCATTAATCCATTGTTGATAATTAGAGCAGTTCAATAATTCCCACATATGTCTAGCTAGATTTCGATTACCAGAGCTGTAAGCAGACTTCCTAACAAACATTCGTTTTTCTTAGTTGTTGTTGTTTTTTTGTTTGTTATGTTTTATTGCCTAGCTTGGCACAAGAGCTTGCTAGCTGAACTCATGTGTTCTGATGTGTATATCACATAACGTTAGTCCTGTGTCTGGTTTGAATTTCCTATGGCGTGCGTAAGTTACTGTGCTAATACAAACTTTAGCTCACTAACAGTGCACTTCCCGACTGTAACTTTACTTCAAATTGTGTTGATTATGAGTCAATTAAATCTTGACGCTGTTGATGTTGATTCCTGCGATTATCATGAGGACATATATCAGTAGAGGTCAATATCTCACATAATTATTTCTAATGAAATCATAACGGCCAATGTTATGAAATAATGTGACGTACATTTAACTTTGTTGATGTCATCTGACATTTTTGTAATGTTTACATTACAATCAAAAAACACAAATGGAATTATACATTAGTCCTACACTATAGGCTATTTACTTGTAAAATGTTATAAGCCAGCAAACGCGATAGGCAACTTTATTATTATTAAGTAGTTTAACACTTGACATATAGTTATTATTAACCAATTACCATCATCAGTAGTTCAGTAGACTGCAGTAACAAGGAAGTTACGGTTATTTACGACAGTGCAAGTACACCACAGCGGCTCTAGGGGTCACTGTTTCACAAAAACATCAGAGCTGCATAATGTGGCTTTAAAGGGTTAGTTCACCCAAAAATGAAAATTAAGTAATTAATTACTCACCCCCATGCTGTACCAACCCCGTAAGACCTTCGTTCATCTTCGGAACACAAATAAAGATATTTTTGATTGAATCTGAGAGCTAGATCAGTCCTACATAGACTGCCTAAGGGACTGGCTCTTGACGGCTCATAAAGTCATTAAATAAAAGGTTTAAATATTCCATGTGCCTACAGCGGCTCAATTATAAGTTTATCAAGCGACGAGACTAATTTTTGTGCGAAAAAAACATAAATAACGACTTATTCCACTATTCCATTACTTCCTTATGGGCGCATGCGCGAGAACTGAGACGAGGACGTTCTCATTCGTCTACTTCTTGTTACCGGCTGCTCGCCGCTTAGGAGTTTTACCGCCCCCCACCGTATAAGATGATGTGCTGATATAGCTGGAAGCGCAAAACTTTCTGTTTACAAGCAGAGGAAGATGCGCGCTGTACATACGCTTTTCAAATTGCCTATTTTACGCACTATAAGGTGCACTTAAAAGTCTTTAATCTTCTCAAAAAACGACAGTGTTCCTTATAATCCGGAGCGCCTTATCCACAAGTTTCCGAGGGGCGCTTCTGTAAAAAATAAAGTGGGTGAAACTTCCGGTGACGCGGCGGAAATAGCATTCCAATGGTATTTTGTGTGTTAGTTAGCGAAGAAGCTAGCTGTTTTTCTGAGAATTATTTTACTATTTAAAGACGCAAATCTTTATGGGAGATGTCGTTACGGAGCTCAGGGACAACATGTGCTGTTCGCGGTTGTATGTATAGCCGGACTAAACTAATTTAGTGGCTTAAACGTGATTGTTTTGAACATAAGCTGAAAACGAAATCAGAGTGATCCTGACAGAGCCCGTCTTCTGATCCTGCCAACGACTGTAGTTTCCATCACCTCCCAAAAGACGACGAATCTTCCTGTGTACATTTGTTTAAATTCTTAATATTCTATAAACTCTATCAGCATGTGATACTGTTCGCTACTGATGTTACACCTAAACTCAGGATCAAAGCCTGTGTTGACAGAATACCAAATGTGCCAGTAATGTATTCAAGTAGCACATTCATTTATAATTTTGAATAAACGCCAAAGCACAATGACTAAGTGTATTTTTTTATTTTAATTGTTTGTCAGCTCGCACAACTGTCTGTCACCATGCCTTGATGAGTATTGATTATTAATAATGTTATTATAATACTCCCAATCAACTACTGCGTAGGGTAAAGGTACTGTTATTTCACCCTTTTGAATTTCGTTGAGGTTGTGTTCCCACATCGTTAGCTAGTTTGGATCGCTATAACTTGAATGACTGTCAACTGTTGAATGAACGAGTGTCAAGCATGTCAAATCGCGCTTTGTTTACTTCCAACCGGAAGTCGCGCCCACTTTTGACGCAAGGCCTCATGGGGCGTAGGAAACTTGTGGATATATGGATCATCATTTTATACGGTAGGTGGCGGTAAAACTCCTAAGCGGTGAGCAGCCGGTAACAAGAAGTAGACGAATGAGAACGTCCTCGTCTCAGTTCTCGCGCATGCGCCCATAAGGAAGTAATGGAATAGTGGAATAAAGTCGTTATGTTTTTTTCGCACAAAAAGTAGTCTCGTCGCTTGATAAACTTATAATTGAGCCGCTGTAGGCACATGGAATATTTAAACCTTTTCTTTAAAGACTTTATGGGCCGTCAAGAGCCAGTCCCTTAGGCAGTCTATGTAGGACTGATCCAGCTCTCAGATTCAATCAAAAATATCTTTATTTGTGTTCTGAAGACGATCGAAGGTCTTACGGGGTTGAAACAGCATGGGGGTGAGTAATTAATGACTTAATTTTCATTTTTGGGTGAACTAACCCTTTAACAAGCTGAAAATAGCAAACTATGAGAGCTGCTTCTCAGGTCAAATAGCTAGAACATTATATACAATGGTAATCAACTTAGCCTAAGCTACTAAAACAAATACTTAAACTAAATCATATTGACCAACATTGTTTATCGCAGACATTTTGTCCAAATAAAATTTTTTTTGAAAGTGGCATTTAGTTTTTTCCCGGTTGGGGCCCTTCTCTTTTTTTTCTTCTTAAATTTTACCTTGTTTAACCAAACTCACCCAGTATTAGCAACGGCCGCCAAAAGGTAAACAGAGATCGTGCCTGTAAACATGGCACCCATGTCCCATAATGCAACACAGGGTGAAGTACCTTCACATTCCCATGTGCAAGGAGTAGAAATGTATGTATGTGATTGTGACAGGAGAATGAGTGTGTGAGCAGAAATGTATGTATGTGAAAAGAGAATATATGAGTGCGAGAGAAGAATGGATTTTGGCTTGTATGGGCCCTCAATAATAATTTTTGAGGCGCAGTCAAAAATGTCAGGGTGATATATTGAAGCATTATTATTTTTAATTTTATACACAGTATATATATATATATATATATATATATAACATTTTGTGTGGTTGTTTATATTAAACGAATAAGATATGAAGAGTTCAGATGCAAAAGCCTCTAAATGCCATTTGAAATTTTCTTCTTTAATGATGATTTTTATCAAGCTTGTATATTTAAGTTCAGTCATTTCACTTAAATGGCAATGATAATTACCTATTAATTGTTATTTAAGTGAAATTACTGAACTTAAATATACAAGTTTGATAAAAATCATCATTAAAGAAGAAAATTTCAAATGGCATTTAGAGGCTTTTGCATCTGAACTCTTCATATGTACCTGTACAAGGTGTAAGATTTTTTTTTTTCTGCAGTGATTACATGGCAAGTTCCCACATATGTAAAACTAAAGATTTTTCTTTATCACATGCACTCTTATAAATAAATACAGTGGACAGAGTAATAGAAGGTTCTATGTCTAAATGATGTATTATGACTGTATTGTTTTTAAGGTGCTCTTGGCCAGCTGCTTTGTGCCTGTCTATGCTGGAGTGAAGCCAGTCGAGTTCCAAGGGCAGGTAATAGAGTCTTATTATACGACCAACTCTCTTGGCTCCAGTACTGTCTGTGACTCTGCCGAGAGCTGATGTTTAGTTTTCATTTAGATGAATGAGCAAACCAACTCTTTGGTTCTGCTTGCCCCCTACACTGACAGAGGTCTGATAAAACTACATTAGCAGCCAATCGTGGTGGTATTTTGAGCCAAAGCAATTATGAGGTTGCATTGGTGAAGTTCAAGTGTGTCATAGGAAAGCATCAAGATATATTACTGTATAATAACATAATGAAGACTGCGCTAGAAATTAATTTATTTGAAGTGGAATACATAAATTGTATATTGATGTTTTGTAATGCTGTCGATTTAATTTAGTACAATTTAAACAAAGCTTAACAGCCTGTTCTTATCCCAAGGCGTCATCTTACTGACACTTTTGACCATGAGTCAACATCCGACGCACATGGCACCCTTTAGCGTCAATATGAGATGCGCCTCCTAGTGGTCTAACCCTAACCCTACCCCAGACCTAAACCTACCCTTGTCATCTAACTGACGCTAAAGGTTGCCATGTGCGTCGGATTTAGACGCATAGTCAAAAGCGTCAGTTAGATGACGCCCTAGGATGAGTGTCATCTAACTGACGCTAAATGTTGCCATGTGCGTCGGATTTAGACGCATGGTCAAAAGCGTCAGTTAGATGACGCCCTAGGATGACCATCATCTAACTGACGCTAAGGCCGTGTGTCCACCAAAGCGTTTTTAGCCAGCTGAAAACACTAGACGCTCTGGTGAAGACGCCGTGCATTGGGCGCTTGAGAGCGTTTTGGCAGCGCAGCGTTTTTTCCGTTGAGACGTTTCATTGCTATGATACAGAATATCCGCAGCAGTTTGAATGTTGACAGTTGGTCGGTATGGTATTAGTCCAGCCCCTCCTCCACTGTGATTGGACAGCTGGGTAAAAAGTGACAGTGAAGAGCGCTGCGTTTTATCCAAAGTTGAACATTTTTCAACTCCCAGCGACCAGTAAAAACGCGGGGCGCTTCAGTGTGAAAAAAAAAAAAAACACTCAGCGCCTCATGGCGTTTAAAAAAACGCAGCGCTCCCATTGAAAACAATTGAAAACCTACGCCAGGCGCGTGGAAAAACGCTTTGGTGGACACACGGCCTAAAGGTTGCCATGTGCGTCGGATTTAAACGCCTGGTCAAAAGTGTCAGTGGGATGACGCCCTAGGATGAGAATGCGTTGAACTTAACGTGTTAAAGGTGCCAAATGGGATTTAAAATCAAATCATACAACATGTTCCATACCAGATGGGGGCAGTATACCTCCAGAAATACCTCCACGGCCACGCGCTCTCTCATGTCTTCAAACAATATGGGCGAGTGCTGTGTTGCTCTGTCTCCCTCGTGCATATTAATCAAATCAATTGACGCGATAGTAAAAGGTTGGAAGACCGCAGTTTCACGTGGAGCATTTGGAGATTTTCAGAGATTAGAGACTTAATGAACAACATCTCAATACTAAATTATAAGGGCCGTCTCATAGACAAGTCGGTGCATTTCGACGATATGGGAAAATTAAAGCCCAGGCTATTATTTCTAGTTTTATGATATTCGATTTGTTCATATTACATTTTTATCATTAGTTTGAATTAATTTGACAGACAGCATTCCCTGATGTGGACCAAGCTAGCGTCTTTCAGAGCTGCCAACTCTCACAACACTTTTCACACACTCTCACGCCACGCCACACATCAATTTTGTCATGCACAGAAAAGGACACGGAGACCGATGTCAGCTCTCAGATTCTGTTCATTTTATTACGCAATTCAAACAATAAATACAGTATTGGCGCTTTACACGACAGATCCCTAACACACGTGAACCGATCATCTCTACTAGCTAATGGTAAAAGAACACAAACACTGTTGAAAGATACAGTATGCTACAACTTACCAAAATGTATTCCTCATGCATAATATCGACCAATCATTTTTTTTAAACTCTTCCCTGAACTGAAATGTAGTAGTGGGCTGTATTTTCCACACGACTGACGTCAGGTTCAAGTACACACAAGCTGGCGCGAGCGCGATTTACTCGTCTATTGCAGTTTGGCTGGTGGTAATGTTGCCCGGCCGCATACCGCCTCCCATGGTCGAAACTGGTATTACGACACCTGCCGGGCCGGGGCTAGTAATTTAGCATGCTAATTCAGGTTAATATCTCGGCAGCACTATACCTTGTCAGTTTTTTAATGACATCATCAACCTTATTTCTTCTCAATCTTTTGATGCGTGTTGCTCATTTTTGGGATATTTTAACCTCAATTTTTACAGATGGCACCTTTAAAGACTGGAGTAATGATGTTGAAAATTCAGCTTTGCCATCACAAGAATAAATAACAATTTAAAATGTATTAAAATACAAAAGTTATTTTAAATTGTTATAATATTGCACAATATTATTATTATTATTATTTTATTAAATAAATTCAGCCTTGCTGAGTATAAGAACGTATATGTTATTTAAGAATGTTGATTTTCTCAGAAATGGATGGATGGCGGATTCACAGACAGTCTTCCTATTCTCCCTGTGGGACGCACAATAACAGTGTCACCATTTAGTGGCCCCCAGGATATTTCCCCAGCACATAAGGGCATTAGTAAGCTTAACCTCAGATTGGCCAACATGAGCATTGCGGTAAGTTTTCAGCATTAATAAGCCTTACTTATTACTTTTAGTTCATAGTTGTGCAGTACTACTTAACTGGAATCATGTAGCCTTCAATCAGGTCATGGAGTCTATATGACACCAATCGACTATTACTCACACTCAAAAAAACTGGGCTTGATTCGGTTGTTCTGAAGGTATGTAAAAAAATGGGTAACACTTTATTTGAAGGGGTGTGCATAAGATTGACATGGCACTGTCATAAACATGACATAACACCTGTCATGAACATGAAGGAGTCTTTATGAATGTTTATGAGTGTTGTCATTAAGTGTCATTCGGTAAATTATGACACTTTTAATGCAAAGTTGACATTGTTTAAAATGTCTTTGTTATGACAACTTGACATTAACCAAGACAAAAATGTCTTGATTATGACAACTTGACATTAACAAAGACAGAAATGTCTTTATGACAACTTGACATTAACCAAGAAATCATAACTAGTCCAACGTGTTCCACTTTACTTGAGGTAAGGGGAAATATTAATGACTCTGTTGTTAAAGCATTTGACAGTGTAATAACTCTAAATGACATCTTTATAACTAGTACAATGTGTTCCACTTTACTTGAGGGCAAGTAAAATATTCATGTCACAGTTATAATGGTGTCATGACGGCCACATATGACAGGGTAATGTAATGTTAACACAAAGCTAAATAACTACTTTAAGTTTGATAATTAGACCTGTTATGGCATATTTGTGACAGGTTGACAGGTTCAGGTGTTATGTCATGTTTATGACAGTGTCATGTCAGTCTTATGCACACCCCTTCAAATAAAGTCTTACCAAAAAAGGTTTACACTTCTGCTCTTCGAGGTCAATATGGTCAATAAAAAAAAAATCCAGCATAAATCTGAAAATTTTTACACAGAAATGAAGGCCTAGTACTAGTGCATAATTGCAATGTATAATAAAAAAAAATATTTCATATGCAAGCTAATGGTGTAGTTGAGGAATTGTGTGGTATATGGATACAAAAGTACTTCATATATTTTCAAAAACACAGCATTAATGGATAGATGAGAAGTAAACAAAAAAAAAAGATTTATATTTTTTTGTACAATTACTCAATCAATTGTTGGGGTCGTATAGACCCCGAAGCCCAGAAGTGTAAACAGGAAACAGAGACCATTTGAAGGTTAAAATATAATTCTCCTTCCAAACTGTTATGTCATAACCTGACAAGTTTTGACATTTTAATTGTTTTCCACCCTTAGTTCTCCAAGGACAACGTCATACGACTGAACCAGGCCCTGTTTCCTCCCTCATTACCCAGGCTCAAGGCACTGGATCAAGAGGGATACCAAGATGCTGTTCACTTTTTAAAGAAAGATGGATGGATGCAATAACTGATTTTCTCCTTTCTAGCACTTTCAATTTCATGAATGTGGAAAATCTGGCATATTGACACCAAGACAATTTTCCTCATAGAAGTTCATTTGTGGTATGCAATATTATGTTCAGACAGTGTAATAATCATACTTTGACTTGGTGTCTAGTTTCATTCTCAAGATGAAAAGCAAAGTAAAATGCATCATGTATTTCAGGAGGCTGAATGGGCATTGTTATAAAAAGTAAATTTCGATTGCACAGCTTTAAAACAACTGCTCTCAGTAAAGAGTCTTGAGAGCACTACAGCGCTTTTTTAAAGAATGACTAAATGACGTGTTAAAATATTTCTGAAACTCCTTTTGTTGGAATCTGTTCATAATGGCCTTTAAAATCTCAGTCAATCCCAAGACCTACAAGTCACCCTTTTGCCTACACTTGCTGCACATCAGTGTAGCGTTTTTGTAGGACCTTGAGGACAACACTGGAGAACAAGCCTTTGAAGTAAAGCCGCAGCAGAGGTCGTTTGAACTCGTGAGTCTCCTCACCTCTCAGAACTATGGGTTTACTTGCACTTGATTCTGCAAGAGTGTTCTGATCATTTTTCTGTCTGTGAGAACATCTCTCTGGGGAAGGTGTGGGGATTAGCAAAGGATTGTGGGTATTTATGATGTGGTTGTAGACAGAAACAGAGCGCTGGCACACACACACACACACACAGTATGGCATAAACTGCTCATGCAAGTTATCCAATCATATGAAATAAATAGTAAAGTTTTCGCAATTAAACAGCAATTTTATTTGACTTATTGATTTATAGAGCAGTTAGTGTTGTCAAAAGATATAAAGATGAGAACTGTGTACGTGAAATTACATAAATTGTAATTGGTCTTCATTACAAGCAAGAGCAATGTTATAAGTGGAGCACCATTAGCTTGATAAAAATTGATTATTCAGTGTATAGTTCTGTGGCAGCATGGGTAATTTATGTCAGTCTTTAAATGATGCACGTGTTCATATGGGTTGATCTATTATTTATAATAAGACCCCATATTGTAGGCCCTCATTGCTGAACCAGCGTTTTTGAACTACCTGGTAATCAATAGAGTGAATGGTTGTTTAATTGAGAGTATTGTTTGAATAAATGTTAAATAATATGGCATCGCAATGTACTGTCTAAGTGTGTGAGAATTTATTTGTGAAATTAACTCTGGTGGGATGTGTCTTTGAATAGCTGCATTAGTAATGTAATTAGAATGCTTTCACATAGAATTGTTACAAAGTGTATCTGACACATCAAGGAGAAACCCCTGACTCAGGGTTGTGCATTATTTACTGGCAAATCAAGTCTGTATTAATTTGCATTGTTAAGCACTGAGATTTTTTTTCTTTCAGGCGAATACGATCGGAGTTGTATTAAAAATTGTCCTGGCTCTTCCAAGCTTGATAATGGGAGTGAATGACTGGCTCTCTGTCTTTGGTCCATCAAAGCACATCTACTCCTGATTAAAGTGCATTCATCATTTGAAGTAGATGAATTCTTTTATAGCTCCTGCGATTCAACCTTATTTTCTTCATGCATGTGGAATGCAAGGTCTAATATATTGTAATCAATATTTAATTGAATCGGTTATAATGTTTTTGATGTTTAAATTATAACGTCTGAAAACAGACTTGTGATTTGATTACACCTTTAATTAGTGATAGAAGTTACAAAGTAACATGAAAGTTATCTTAACATTAACATTTTTAACATGAACTAATTAATATTTTACTAAACTAAGAATATTTTTAGTATAGTTTATTATACTAAGAGAAAAGTGTTATTTATACTGTTTTATCTGTATGTTCAATTTACAGAAAGAAATCAAATCAGGAGGTCACACACAGCCTCAACCAGAAGTTATGGAAGCTCATAATTAATGTACAGTAAGGTCTGAAGAGACCAATGTGAAATCATACAGGTGAAAAGTCAGTTGAGTTTGTGCTAAACGCTTTGACAGTGCTTATACATTGTTGTCTTTCAATTCAGACAACGATGCACACTGTTGCTGAGCCTGCACTGTAGCGAGCTCTGCAACAAACATCTTCACGACAGTTAAAGCGGCATTACGTCACAGAAGCGCGGACTAGGAAGGCAGTGAGTGTTTAGGGTGCCATTTGGGACAGGCTCAATATCTCTCCGAAAATACACTTTGTATTTACTTTGCGTAGGGCCTTATTCAAGTCTACAAGCCTTACAGGTTTGAATTGTGGCTAGATGTACATTTTATTCTGCACTACTGAGAATGTCAAACCAAGTCTGGTATTACATATGTCACCTTGCTATAATAACCATAGTTTTACCTGTTTTTCCTCACCCATATTCTTCTAATGTCTGTATACCAGTGGTCCCACGCTACAACAACATACAGTACCTAGAATCAGCGGTATGGTTCTGTGGTGCCAGGTGCAGTGAACAAGGCGACTCTTTATAGTCCACATGGGGATTTGCCTTGTCAGGCAGCATCACGTTAATGATCATTTTGGGGCTAAATTGCCAGAGGCTGAAAGTGGTTACAGGAAAAAAAACATAAAAACATAGGAGCCCCGCCAAAACCTGACTCAAATTAACAGCAGTTAATGTCAAAACAGAGAACAGAGCTGATTATATCTGATTCAGGCCACAGATAAACAGTGAATCTGGTTGTCTGAGCCATAAACATTGTCTTTAGCTGAACCCCCACTTTAAGTAATGAGAGGCCACTGAAGTTAAACTAACTGCATTTCATATACATTTAAACTATATATATATATGAAGAGTTCAGATGCAAAAGCCTCTAAATGCCATTTGAAATTTTCTTCTTTAATGATGATTTTTATCAAACTTGTATATTTAAGTTCAGTGATTTCACTTAAATGGCAATGATAATTACCTATTAATTGTTATTTAAGTGAAATTACTGAACTTAAATATACAAGTTTGATAAAAAAATCATTATTAAAGAAGAAAATTTCAAATGGTATTTAGAGGCTTTTGCATCTGAACTCTTCATATATATTTTGTATTTTTAAAACATTACATGCAGTTGGCACAAGAATATTTCAAGGCAATAGAAGTAATTATTAAAATTCATATAAAGATTGTGGGTCAACAAGCACTCTTAAGTTATAAAGTATATAATGTATATTTTAAAGTACATTATATACTCTATGTCCTCTATCTCATTTCCAGGGGAGAATGCTAGTGCAGTTAGCAGCCGCTGCTCTGAGGAAGATTTAAAGATTTTAGTTTTTAGATTATCTTCATTGTGTTTACCTGTGTTTTATTCACCTGCCTGGACTGCATAAAAATTTTGTACGAGATTTTGGATTTACTGAAATATTGCTGCTTCTTGAGACTGTTTTCAATGTTGTGCCTAATTTCGTCCTCTTGCCGAATTATTATCACCCTCGTTGAAGTCAGTACCTGATTGCCTAATTCCAAACCTGTCCCATCCATTTGATGGTCTACGAACCCTCGTCCTCCAAGAAAACATAGTAGGACCAGGTAACCAAGGCGACTACCTCGAACAACGGTAAGAACGATCTTTCATTTGGAATATGGAATATTCGATCAATCTCCGATAAAGGTCCTTTTGTGAATGATCTGCTGCTTGATCGCAAGTTCGATTTTCTCTGTCTAACTGAGACATGGTAAGGAAAAATAGAAAGTTACAACTCTTCCTTTAACAGAATGTACTGTAGAATTACATCATTTCAATCGTTTGGCTTGCAAATCAATGGATGCGTTCCAACTATTCTTGCTATTGTATAAACTATAAAGGCCCCTGAAGGCCAATTTTAAATTCCTACAGAAATTTTCTAGGCAAGGCAATTTTATGTTTATAGCATGTTTCAGCAGAAGTGCAATCCAAGGTGCTTTACAAAAAATAAAATATAAAACAACATTTGAAAAGAGATTAAATACAAAAATAAAAGTTATAATACAATACAATGAATAGATGAATTAAAAATAAGCTAAGGAAGAGAGTGCATGTGCGAGAGAGAGACAATGGGAAGACAGGGACAATCTTTAATACAGACTTTGCTGTATTAATCATAGACTAACTGATCTATAAAAGAACATGCTTCATAGCATTGTGTAAATGATTTACTGTCTTACCTTCAACCCTCCCTCTCTTAGTTTGTCATCCGCAAACACTGTTTCTGGTGGTACTGGGGAACCCCCTCCATGGGGGCCCCGATGGCCCAGCATGCCTTGCTTCCAACCGGATACGGCATTATGGAGGAGGATTAAAGTTTTGAATATTTAAAAATCACAGCTTCTTCAGAAAATGACGAAACTTGGTGACTTTTGATGGCATATGGTATGTGAACACAAAAAAGAATTTAGGTCATGATTCGAGCAATTTAAGTGGTCGTAAAAAATTAGTCACACTTTTGCTCTTCTGTCAAAAATTACGACCCATAGGAAATGATTGGGAAATTGACAAAAAAAAAAAAATGTTGTATACAATCTACAAATCGGCCACAATGCTAAAAAAAAAAGTACACCGCAGGAAAGGGATGACACTCTACAACATCTAGAGTGCAAAACAGACACACCCACCAACACACACACACATACAAACACACTTTTATACACATACACACCAATAAATTTTGATTACAAAAAGTATGTTTTGAAATTTTAAAAATCACAGCTTCATCGCAATGTTACGAAACTTGGTGACTTTTATGGCATTATGTATGTGAACACACAAACAAATTAAGGTCATGATCTGAGCATGCTAAGTGGTCTTAAAAAAAAAATAGTCACACTTGTGGTCTTTGGTCAAAAATGACCCCATAGGAAATGAATGGGAAATATTTGTTTTTTGTCATTTTTTTAAATAAGAAATAGTTTTTGAGATTGTTTCAACTATATATACAAATCCACAAAAAAATGTGTTCATAAACAGCTGGGGAATTCACATGCCTCTCCATAGAGAGCTGTACATGCCATCTAGTGGTTACACCATGATTCTACGCTTTTTCTCTATACTGTAACCAGATGGTGCTAATTTTCTTCAAAAAATATTTTTTTCTGAAGGCCTAGACTCTATATTAAACTAAAATACTGCATTAATATTTTTTTGAAAAAAAATTATATGTATATAGAAAAAATATATATTTTTCCATGGCAAAAATAAAACATAAATATTGCATAAATATTAATAAATTCAATTAAATTGTCTCAAAATACTAAATTAAAAAGAATAAATATTATAGAACAAAAATAAATTGCATTGGTTTTACTGGGATGGGGAACTTACTGACTTTTTTTTAGCGGAAGCAATACGATCGTTTTAAAATCAATAAACTCCTTTTTAGAGCAATATTTTTAAATTGAAGCGGGTTTAACCATGTGTGATGATCTGCAGCTGTAGTGCCCTCGTGAGCCTCTGGAGGGCACTCTCTTCCCATGTTATGTTTCCCCATGGACTCTTTATGTTTATTATATTCAGCTGTTTGTCATTACCTGTGATTGAGTTCCTGATTTAAACCTGAGTTTTCCCTGTGTTGTTTGCAAAGTCTTGTTAGCGTGCAATTCTAAGCGCTACTCCCTGTTCTTTTTCTCCGTGAATCCCTGGACTCTTGACCCTTGCCTGTTTCCTGGACTTGTCACAAACCTGTGCTGCCTGCCTCGACCTACGCCTGTTAACACCACGAGTTTTTGGATTGCCCTTGTTTATTTGTGTGCCTGCTTGATCCTGTTTATGTTCAAGTTATAATAAAGTTCTGCGCATGGATCCGACCGTCTCTGTCGTTACACCATGGATGGGGTCTGTTATGTTATTTTATTTTCAGTGACGTTTCTTGTTATACATATTCATTTCTGGATTTATAGAAAAACATCAATCAATATTGCATATCCATAATTATTATAATGGATATAATTAATTACAAATAAAATAAATAAATTAAAATAAATTACAATTTTGTACTTATTTCATCTGTTAACTCTCACTCGCTTGACTCGCTCATAACATGGCATTAGTCGGGGTGGGGGTCCGTCAGGGACCTAGATATTGGATAGGGGGTGCTGGTCCAAAAAAGGTTGAGAACCACTGCCCTACGCGAACACGGGGGTCGCATCCTGAATTATCTTGACGACTGGCTAATATTAATTCACTCTCGAGATCAGGTTTGCGAAAACCGAGACCTAGTGCTTCGGCACCTAGCCCGTCTGGGCCTTCGGGTCAACTGGGAGAAGAGCAAACTCTGACCCGTGCAGAGGATCTCTTTTCTCGGTATGTAGATCGCCATGTGCGTGCAGCTTAAGAGAGAGCGCGCATTCTCACTGCTGACTTGTCTTTGACAGTTCGAGGGCAAGAGCGCGGTCCCACTGGAATTATTTCAGAGGCTCCTGGAGCATGTGGCATCTGCAGCCTCGGCAATGCCACTCGGGTTGCTTCATATGAGACCGCTTCAGCTGTGGCTTCGCGATCGAGTCCCGAGGTGGGCATGGCATCGTGGCATTCTTGGACACATAATAGTGCCTATTCTTTCAGTAGGATTCAAACCACTTTAGTACTGAGATGGAAAGGGCTATCCAATTTTCCAATTGGTTTACTAGTATGTCATGGTAGATCATATCAAAAGCAGCACTGAGATCTAGCAAGAACTGTAGTTTTGCCGCTATCTGTGTTTAGATGGAGGTCATTAAAGTGAAGTTCGTTTTGTATAAATTGTATCTTAATTTTAATCAATTTTTCATCAACAGATTTCGTGGATATAATAAATAAGAAACAAATGAAGAGTTCAGATGCAAAAGCCTCTAAGTGCCATTTGAAATTTTCTTCTAAAATGATCATTTTTATCAAGCTTGTGTATTTAAGTTCAGTAATTTCACTTAAATGGCAATGAAGATTACCTATTAATTGCCATTTAAGTGAAATTACTGAACTTAAATATACAAGCTTGATAAAAATGACCATTCTAGAAGAAAATTTCAAATGGCATTTAGAGGCTTTTGCATCTGAACTGAAATCTGAAAAATATTGCAGACAATATGATCATGATATGGCGGCACAGGCACGATCGCATTGCATGTGAACTGGAGCACATCCTGTCAATGATCTAGCACCCCCTCAGCACCTGCATTAAAAATGATCTGGCGCTGCCCCTAAGTGATGGTGAATTCATAAGTTTACTTTTCACCAACTCCATTTTCTCCAGGCTAAATGCGTGCTTGCAGCGGCATCAGGTCTGCCCTAGCGATGCACGTTGCACGCAGCAGCCAGACTTTCTTTACAGTGAACAGCAGAGGAACAGCGGAAATCGGAGTGACAACAAAAGGGAACTACTGTTCGACCTAGAACTACCTGAAAATCTCTAAACACAGTTTATTTCATTTATAGCCTTTGTTCTATTGTATTAATTTGTGCCATTTGTAATTAGATTTTTTTTTATTATATTAGTCCTTTAATTGTCCTTAATAATGTTTAAATTTACATTAGTAGTTTGTTTCTGTAGTATCGAAATTGAAAATGTTGAAAACACTGAAATAAACTTGAAACTTGTAAAAGTTGAAAATTCAAAACAGTGAAATATCACAATTTCAAATGCATGAAGCATAACTGAAGGATATATATATATATACTGTATATATACACTCACCGGCCACTTTATTAGGTACCCCATGCTAGTAACGGGTTGGACCCCCTTTTGCCTTCAGAACTGCCTCAATTCTTCGTGGCATAGATTCAACAAGGTGCTGGAAGCATTCCTCAGGGAGTTTGGTCCATATTGACATGATGGCATCACACAGTTGCCGCAGATTTGTCGGCTGCACATCCATGATGCGAATCTCCCGTTCCACCACATCCCAAAGATGCTCTATTGGATTGAGATCTGGTGACTGTGGAGGCCATTTGAGTACAGCGAACTCATTGTCATGTTCAAGAAACCAGTCTGAGATGATTCCAGCTTTATGACATGGCACATTATTCTGCTGAAAGTAGCCATCAGAAGTTGGGTACATTGTGGTCATAAAGGGATGGACATGGTCAGCAACAATACTCAGGTAGGCTGTGGCGTTGCAACGATGCTCAATTGGTACCAAGGGGCCCAAAGAGTGCCAAGAAAATATTCCCCACACCATGACACCACCACCACCAGCCTGAACCGTTGATACAAGGCAGGATGGATCCATGCTTTCATGTTGTAGACGCCAAATCCTGACCCTACCATCCGAATGTCGCAGCAGAAATCGAGACTCATCAGACCAGGCAACGTTTTTCCAATCTTCTATTGTCCAATTTCGATGAGCTTGTGCAAATTGTAGCCTCAGTTTCCTGTTCTTAGCTGAAAGGAGTGGCACCCGGTGTGGTCTTCTGCTGCTGTAGCCCATCTGCCTCAAAGTTCGACGTACTGTGCGTTCAGAGATGCTCTTCTGCCCACCTTGGTTGTAACGGGTGGTTATTTGAGTCACTGTTGCCCTTCTATCAGCTCGAACCAGTCTGGCCATTCTCCTCTGACCTCTGGCATCAACAAGGCATTTCCGCCCACAGAACTGCCGCTCACTGGATGTTTTTTCTTTTTCGGACCATTCTCTGTAAACCCTAGAGATGGTTGTGCGTGAAAATCCCAGTAGATTAGCAGTTTCTGAAAAACTCAGACCAGCCCTTCTGGCACCAACAATCATGCCACGTTCAAAGTCACTCAAATCACCTTTCTTCCCCATACTGATGCTCGGTTTGAACTGCAGGAGATTGTCTTGACCATGTCTACATGCCTAAATGCACTGAGTTGCCGCCATGTGATTGGCTGCTTAGAAATTAAGTGTTAACGAGCAGTTGGACAGGTGTACCTAATAAAGTGGCCGGTGAGTGTATATATATATATGTGTGTGTGTGTGTGTTTAAAACAAATTAAGAAGATTTCAATTCTTCTGTTTTCTCTACCCAATACATTTAAAAATTACAAATGCATCCCAAAAACAGGTAGTTGTACTCTGTATTAGCAAGTACCAAAAATGAAAGTATTGGTATCGGTCTCGTTCTGTAAAAAGCGGTCTCAGTACATCCCTATATACACACAGCTTTAAAGAAATTTATGTTTTTGAATTTCCAAAAAGTCATTACAAGTAAAGTTTCTATAGGTTTTAGAAACCTATCCTTAAGCAGAGCATGTGTTCTCTGCTTGTGCCTTTGATCATTTAAGCCAAGCAGACCTTCCATAATGCAACTGATTGATCTCCTCTTTGCAAAAGCACCCAGAAAATCAGAATGATTGAACTTGTCTATTTTGACATAGGCCTAGATCTTTTTCAGTTTGAGGAGACCCATACTTCAATTGCTTTTAAGGCTCCCCTGGGTACCGCCATCTGCTCTTTTAGCTAGGCCTATCTTTAAAAGTCAGTATCTGTTCACATAAAAGTGATTTAGTAGATATGCTGTAAGAAGTGGTCAAAAATGTTTTCAAATCGTATCCAGAAAGATGCTAGTAAGAGTTATTTGATCATGTCAATTAACACCCACTTGAAATAAGAGCCTGCACTATTTATTCAAGACTGTGGGTAATCATGGAATCTTGAGGAAATGATGCATGATACTCTATCAAATGTTAAATGTTAGTTAATGATCAAAAGCTCATAGAGCGGACGCTCTCAAATATGAAATTTACCTTATTTAAATGACTATACATTTCTGATTAGCAAATATGTTACATATTCCAGAAACAGTGATAAATACATCAAGCCATGAATAAATATCAAATCGGCTCTTACAAAATTAGGCAAAACATCTTTTTATTTCCTGATACAGACTATTTTGTAAATGTGATGTGATTAGTGTAATGAACATGATGTCGAGAGCGTGGAGAGCCTCTTAAGGCTGGCAAACTATCCAGCGCAGCCTGATTAGTCACAAAAATAAGCAAAACATATTGGATACCAAAAATACTACAAAAACCCTCAGAGCACCAAAGCCTGTAAGAGGCATTATGGGTATTGAGTACCGGTTGCAGGCTAGATCAAAGCTTATGAGCACAAAGGTAGTAATTACAGCTTCACAAAATCCCTGACCTTACACTGAATCAGGATGATGGATCTCCAAACTAGGAGGAATACAGAACTCAGAGCAGAGAATCTGGCTGCAGTAACAAACACTCTAGCCACAAAAGAGCTTAGATACAAATTTAGCTGCACAAAAAAAACAAAACAAATGTGTGCAGTATTGTTTTCCCTTCTTTTTCGTTTAGGGGTTAAAAAGATGTCCGAAATACCTTGCTGTGAGCAGTGTTTAGATATGTTAAAATGTGCAGCGTGCTTACCTCTCAATAGCAAAATAAACACAGACAAAAATGACAACGGTGAGAAATCAGCAGTAAAGGAAGCATTCATAGCCAAGTGGTTATGTTTGCACCAGGTCTACAATTCGGCACTCCAATTAAGTTACTTTATGTCACGTTTATTTGTAGTTTATTCAATAGATTGCTTTAAAGCAAGCAGCTTTACAGTTTTAAATAAACAGTGTCAGTGCTTTTAAGTAGTAGTACAACTTCAATTTTCATTTTCAATTCAACTTCAAATTTTATTTTGACCTGATTTTGGTCACCACATTTAACCTATTAAGGTGTGCTTACATTAGCCAAATTTCAATGACATTTTAATTTCTTCACTAATGTCCATAGTGAAACAATAACTTTTTTTGTGTCAAACCTGAAGTCACATTGGTCTGGAACAACATAAAGGTGATTAAATTATGGCAATTATACTTTTAGAGTGAACTATCTCTTTAAGTATTACACGCCCTCCTTATGCATTAAAGCCACATGATTTTGTGAATCGGACTATTCTTCTTAAAGCTAATGTCGTAGCTTCTCTATCTGATGATCTTGTTCACATCTGCAAAGCTGACTGAGAGAAGAGCAGCAGGGCTGGAGCCAGGGTTTCCATACTATTTGCAGAGGGGAAAGCTGTATTGGGACGGGCTTTAGACTCAGTGTATGACGGCTTACTGCTGCCCTTATGACCTTCAGAACTGAGTAGAACTGGGGCTCAGTGTCTGGACTCAGGGGGGTGCTTTCTGACGGGTCTCTCGACAGGTCATAAAGCAGTGGAGGGTCATGGAACGTGATAAATGGCTTGATGCAGAAGCAGATATGAGTGTGGAAGCACGCAGAGCTGTTCTGTGGGTAGAAGTCAGGTGTAAAAAAAAAGGCCTTCCAGATTGCACTACCTGGAAACACAGGAAATCATTTACATGTGAAAAAGAAAGGACACTCTTTAGAATTGTATGGTTTTACATATCAGAACATGCTAAAAAAAAGCAGGTCTTAACACTAGAAGTGCCAGAATTCCAAAACTACTAGAACGGCCACAAACGGTCATTTTGACCGTTAGATTCAAAACAGTGTTTATTTCTTTGACGAATAATTTTCGGAATTATTTTCGTCAACCACATTTTTTCAAAGACGGAAACGAGACGATAACTAAATAAAAACTAGGTTTGAATGACAAAAACTATGACGAAAATGTTAGATAGTGACGATATGCGAAGCGGTCAATAGGCTAATAATAATAATAATAGGACTAGCAGAACAACAGCCCATGCAGCAAAACAAACAGCGTAGGACAGGGCAGCAGAGCTCACCAGGATCATCCGATATGAATTGAACATCTGGATCCACCGTGTCTGATGATAGCAGCCGTCTCTTTTTCCTTGATGTGAACTCTGACTCTGAATCACTCTCTGATGATATATAGCCTATAACGCAAGTATTGATAACTGTAGTCTGGTTTTATTTGCTTATTTCTGATCAACAACTAATGTAGAAATTATTATAAAGCAAACACCACTACAGAGGTGACCGGACGGACCTTTCTGTTGACAGTTGAGAGAGAGAGACCACGATCAACCGCGGGATATTTAACAAAAAAAATATCGCGAAATTCAGTGCGGTCAATATGACCGTCTATGGCCGAAATAGGTAAATATGTTCATTTGTTTTGTTTTGCCTTACGTTTACGTAACTTAATTTATATGAAAATCATTTTAAATGAAAATACAGACAATTTTAGGAAGTCAGGTACCAGCAGGATTGTAGATTATTAAAGTTATTGTAGATATAAAATTCAAAACGGTCAAAATGACCGTTGTGGCCGTTCTAGTGTTAAAGGTTCTCAAAGCGATCCTGGGTGTTGACGTTTGAATATTTTCAAACAAATCGGAGCTAGACCCTCCCTCCTCCGCATCTCATCTCCTCCCCCTCCCTTCCGTGCTTCCTGAAATAATTGTGAACGTGCATAGTTCTAGCTAATTATATCCTTGTGTGGGTTTGGCGAACATAAAGCGTCAATTTAGAAGAAAAAAAAAACTATTTAACGTTACCCACCTGTCCAGCAAAAACAGAGCAACCTGAATGTCGGACTGGAAGCCCTTCTGCCGCCGGAGTTCTCGCCATCGTTCAAAAGCTTTGCTACCGATGTAAATTCGGAACTTCGCACGTTCTTTATCCGACTCCTTCTTCTTTTTAATTTGTTCCTCAGAACGACGTCTCTTTGGTCGTGTGTCGGTAATTTTTCAAACTTCCCTCTGATGCTTCGCTGCTCTCCTTCACACACACACACCCTTCATGTGCACGCGCACTAACCCCCCAGACCCACCCTCAAATACTTCTTGCCAGTGATTGGCTGGAACACTGTTTGTTAGGTTTCGTGGTCCGGGTAAGACATGATTGTTTTTGTTGCCGTTTGTGGAGCCTGTGGTGTCTACAGAGACCGCGTTTTTTTACAGTGTGTTTAGGGGACAGGCAACTAGCCGATAGTGAGGAGACGTTTGATGTATGTGACAAAAAATGTTTTGGCCCAGCATCGCTTAGAGAACCTTTAAAATTAGGTAAATACAACCTCAGATGAACAACAACGAATGACATATTACACTATGTCATTTATTTATTTAACAAAAATAAAGGCAAAATGGAAAAGCTTTGGGTGACAAACTAAGTACAGTACACCCTATGATTTAATTGCTTGTAGAGCCACTTTTAGCAGCAACAAGTTGAGGGAATCTTTTTCTGTATGACAGTTTAAGCCTCATTCTTGAGGAATTTTGGCCCGCTCCTTTTTTAGAAAAAAGTTACATGTGAAGGCTAAGTATGGTAACCCATACTCAGAATTTGTTCTCTGCATTTAATAAATGGAGGTTGGAGCAGGCTTCACTCAAAGTTTATACCTCAAATTGTTTTAAGAGTGCTGGCCTAATAATTCTCTGCATTTAACCCATACCAGTTAGTGCACACACATAAGGAGTAGTGAGTAGTGAACACACACACAATGCAAACTGTAGACACAGACCAGGTGGGCAGCCATTTTGCTGTGGTGCCCAGGGAGCGATTGGAAGTCAGGGTCCTTGCTCAAGGCCATCTCAGTCATTCCCTGTCGGCATTGAGAAATAAACCCGCAGCAACCTTTGGGATTATCTGAGCATTGCACAGTCTGACATTTGCTGGGATGTCCACCAAATAATTTTCCTTACAGTAGAATAATGGACTTATTTAACCCTTCTCAGATAGATGGCAGCATCAATTGCTTCTCCAAGATCATTGTTGGTGTCCTCCTTGGAATTGTGTTAAAACACACCTGAATGCTCCAGACCAGCAAACTGCCAAAACCGCTGCTTTTATAGAGATGATTACACTTTGCTAATGAAGTTAGTAGCTTTTCCATTGTGGCCTAGTTTTTGTTAAAGGAACACTCCGACTTTTTGGGACTTTAGCCTATTCACCTTACCCCCCAGAGTTAGATAAGTCCATACATACCTTTTTCATCTCCGTGCGTGCTATAAGTCTGTTTGACGCACCCACCGCTAGCCTAGCTTAGCACAAAGACTGGATGTGAATGGTTGCAGCTTTCATACTGATCCAAATGAGTGGCAAAATAACGCAAACGTTTTCCTATTTACATGTTGTGATTTGTATAGTCACATAATGTACAAATAACAAAGTCAAATGAGACACAGACATCTTTTAACCGTATAAAACCTGGGAACTATTCTCTGAAGGCGAAGCACTGCTACTTTGACGGCGTAATAACCGCATCACCGGAGACACGCCGTGGTGAAGAGCGGAGAGTTCGCTCAGTGTTTGGGTAATAGAGTCAGCATATAGGCTACTGTTGAATACGTTTGGTTCAGCTAATAAATTGCATTTAAAATATATTGATTCCTGTAATAATAATTATTTATTCATGTGATATTTATAAATCTGGGTGCGTTTTTGGTTGGAAATCAATGAAACATGGTACTGTATTACCTGGTCTCCCCTGTTTATTGTCACAGCTCATACAATAAAGCAAACACCCATGATAAACTATGCTTTTCTATCTAACGTTAGTAATTGCTGACTCTTTATTCCAACGCTGAGCGAAGCGAACTCTCTGCTCCTCGTCACGGTGCGTCTCAGGTGATTGTTATCACTCTGCCCAAGTAGCAGTGCTTCCCCTTCAGAAAATATAGTATTTATACGGTCAAAAGATGTCTGTGTCTCATATGGCCTTGATATTTGCACACTCTGTGACTATACAAACCACAAGATGTAAATAGGAAAACGTTTGCGTTATTTTGTCACTCATTTGGATCAGTATGAAAGCTGCAACCATTCACATCCAGTCTTTGTGCTAAGCTAGGCTAGCGGTGGGTGCGTCAAACAGACTTATAGCACGCACGGAGATGAAAAAGGTATGTATGGACTTATCTAACTCTGGGGGGTAAGGTGAATAGGCTAAAGTCCCAAAAAGTCGGAGTGTTCCTTTAAATAAATAATGACACAATGTAATATGTCATGTGTTGTTGTTCATCTGAGGTTGTAATAAGCTAATTTTAAGACCCGCCAAGGACCATTATTTTTTATTATGTCCTGATTCATAAAACCATATAATTCAATAGGGTGTCTTTTTGTTATTATCAAGAGTATAGCACTGACAACAAACAAATATGAACAAAAAAGCCCAGAAAGCAGTGTGACAGCACGTGAACCCTGTGTTTTAACAGACAACTTCACACAAAATTATGACAAATCGTCTGTCTTGGCGAATATCCTAGTAAACACGGTTATGTCTTAAGTGAAAGTAAACAGTTCAAAAGAAAATGCATGTCTACAGTATCAGTTTATTGGATCCAAACAATATTTACGTATTAAAGTGACGGCAGCCTAATATTCCCACTCATTGACTAAATAACTTGTGTAACTTTAATAAGGATTCAGCTATATGTAATTTATACACTGATGTCTATGCAGTTATTTTAAATTTGAGTAGGCTACTTGAGTAGGCTACTTACAATATCAAGTAGCTAATCTAGCACTGTTTATTTAATGTATAACTTTGTTTAATAGTCTATTTGTGCTATTGCTTGTAGTTCATTTATTTGTTCTTATTTTATTACAGACTGTTTTCTCGACTAAGTGTTTGAAATGTATATTTTATATTACATTTATGTATCTATCTTGAATCACTTGAAGAGCAACTCAGCAAAAGGTGTACTTTACAACTAAAAGACTAAAATTCTATAGATGATCAAAATAGTTATTAGTTTCTTCTTTGAGAGTGTAGAAAGATGGGTGCATTGAAATTACTCACTGTTAGGAGGGTGCCATCGGACAGCATTCAGTTCGGCATTGCAATAATGAAACATAAATTCATGTTCAGAACGCTCCACTTGTCCTTGCAGCAGAGGCAAGAGATCATGGCCATCAATGACTCTGTAATGGAAACAAGTTGTAATACACTGCAACTACTAACATATTTAGTGATAACATATTTATAACACAAAACATCATTATTCTGTAATAATTACCTAATTTTGGCATATGTTCATCTTATTAAGTGACTGAAAACACAATCTAATCTACTGATTTCTGTATATCCAAATATTTCAATCTATCTCCTGATTATTAGCATCTATTATAGACCTTATGCACCAGAGGAACAAGGGCAGAGCCATATTTAGAATATTGTCTTTGAACTTTCGTTTTTGCGGTCGCTCTGCATATTTCTATGGCATCGCTGTCCAGGGTGATTAGCTTTTGAAGTGGATTTACTTACTGTAAAGTTAACGAAAGTTATCATAGGATTATAGTGTTTAAAGTAGATGTCTTAACAAATGTCATTCGACCGGGAAGATTTTAAAACGAGCCGTTCATTTATTCATTCATTTACAAGATCGCTGTGAAAGTACAGAACGGAAGACAAAAGACAACGAGTGCAGTGCTGAAAAGGGGCGGGGCTACATAAGGTCTATATCTGCATCTTGTATCTGTTGTCTCACTAACCAAATTCTTGACAGATACAGATTCTCACCTGTCACTAGGTATGGAAGCACCAGCTAAATTTAGCACCGTGGGGAAAATATCCATGTTGCTAGTGGGCTCATCAATGACCTTCCCAGCAGGCAAGACACCTGGCCAACGAAGAATACCCGGTATCCGAATCCCACCTTCCCAATTGGTAGACTTACCAGCTGCTCCAGTGAGGGTATGGAGAAACAGAGGGAGTGAAATCGCAGTTACTGTTCAAATTTTAAACTGAAAATAATGTTGAAAGGTGATGCTTTGTTCACAAGGATTGATAAACTGGCCCTCATGACTATTCTATGGGACAGAATACCTTTGTATATGCTGCTATAACCCCCGTGCATCTCTCCGTGAATAGAAATCTCTTCCAGGTGAGGGCCCTGATCTGAAGTCATGTACACCAGAGTGTTTTGCTTCAAGTTTAAGCGCTCCAGAGTCTGCATGATTTGACCTAAAAACACCATGGTGAGACGTCTGAGTGACAATAAGATCAATATAAAAAGACTAAAATCAACTGGTTTAACATTTAGCTTATCTACTTATCTTAACTACTATTTAAAAGGCTAAATTTTACAGTGCAGTGCAGTACTGAATTGTGTTTTACTCATTTTACAATTGAGTGCTGCTGTCATTTTACTCATTTTACAATTGAGTACTGTCATTATTTTACTCATCCTCTTATCTATGACTTCCTTCTGTGGAACATAAAGGAAGAAATGTCTTTCTTTGTTTTCAAGTAAGTGGTCAGATAAACTGTTAGGTTACTGTAACAACATTCTTCAAAATATCATACAGCCAAATAGTCATTCAGGTTTGAAACAACATTAGGGTGAGTAACTGATGACAGTTCATTTTTGGGTGAACTATCCCTTTTATTTTTTCCGAAGGGATAGTTCAGCCAGGTTTGGAATGGAATGAGGGTCAGGGTCAATAAATGCTGACAGAATTTCCATTATTAAATTACCTATCCCAATTAAGATAACAGTCTGACGAAACTATTGAGAGGGTATTATATAGGCTATGGCTATGGGGTGCCCAAATTCAAAAATGGTAGTAAAGGAGGTGTCCACATACTTTTGTCGAACTTGCTTTTTTAAACGTATCAATTTATATTTAGAATATTTATATGAAAAGGCAAAGTCAAAAGTCATTACCTACACTCCAGTCTATCTCCATGACAGCGTCACCATAGAGGCCATGCTGGCTCTTCCCTCTGAAGAAAGGAGAGGCAAAAAGTCCAGTGTGGACTTGAATGAATGAGAAGAAAAGCAAGAAAGGACTCTGTGAATTCCTGTGGGAAAACAAACAAACAAACAAACAAACAAACAAACAAACAGAAAACCCTTTATTTTCCATCTTGCATTACCTTTGGACAAACACAAAGCACATAATTTCAGGGTTGTATTATCCCATCAGATCAGGGTTCAGAGCCTGGCTGAAAGGGATTTGCTTCCATGTGAGGTTTCATAAGGCTTTGTATATGACATGTCTTACAGTGCCTTACAATGCACACAATAGTGCAAGGAGACAATTTAAACTTGATCATTACTATAAGAATAAATAATTGGTTTTACAGATAAAAAACACAATTCACCAATAAACTGATTGTCTCATACAGCTAAGAATTAAGGCAGAGAGATATTGCATTTAAATCAGAGACGACAAATAAGAAACACCATGTCAGGCGTCAGTGTTTTTTTGGTTTTCTTTTTTTTTTTTTTTACAATTCAAAATAAGTATAATATAATAAATATTAGAACGATTAACAGCCTCGGACAGTAACAGGTCTGCTTATAGTAGGTATGTCTATAACAGTTTATATGTTTTCGTTAAAAATAAATGTTCCTATGAAGAAAATAAAATATTATGAAAATTAGTACTTTTTCACTTGATTTAGTATAGTTAGTCTTGTATCAAACTAAAATATATATTTTTTTGTTATTTGAGATCTGGCAGCAGCAGTAGATTTATCCTCTTGTTCGAGACAGAGCCATATAGAGATATATTTATGATTTGGTTTAAAAAAAAAAATCTAATTTGCTGTAGGTAGGTGGGCCTCATTTTGAAAAGCTGCTAAGGGCGCCCAAATACTAAGGCCGACCCTGAGTGTATGATGGACACAGACATTTTCTTTTTTAGGTTTAGACTGATTTCCATTCAGACAGTAAATTTTAAAAAAAATGTTTGATATTTTGAGACAATTTTAGAACACATTCTGTTTTCTTTTGTCATGCGTCTCCTAGCAACAAGGAGGATGTTTCTGTGTGAGTTTGTGTGCGAAACTACTTAAAATTCTGGACATGTGTAATTCTCAATCATTTAGTGCAGTTTTAAGCCCAGTTTTTCTCTATAACCATTTTTGAAGTCAGCAAGTGTATGAGTCCTAGATTCCTAGTGTTTTCAAATCTTTTCTGAATTTAGTTGTGTGCTGTACTTCTACATTTTGGCCCTATTCGTTGTAGTTGCAAGAGCAACCTGACAATAAAAATGAGCACATCATGACAGAATTTCTTTACCTTTATTTCTTTACCTCTTTACCAGAATTTCTTTACCTCTCTACCTTTAAATTCAGAGGGTTAATCAAATTAATAATGCAAAGGCTTAAGCGAAACCCTCAAAGACCTTTCAAACTGGATTGGCTATTTCACTTGATATTAGTTTGTAATAATTATGTTTTAAAACATTTGTAGGCTCAAACTGGGTACCTAAAAGCTTTTTGCACTTTAACATATAAAGTAGACACATACCTTTCCAGAAACTCTATGGCTTCATTGGTCATCCTTTGAGTGAGGTTCTCTGATGTATATGGTTGCTCAACAATCTCCGCCCCTCGCATGACAAAGCAATTTAGATTGGGGAATGTATACAACAACACACCAAAGAGACTCACAAACACCCCTACCAGAACCAGAAAAAATAAAACTACTTTCCTGGTCACAGTTATTGTCCCTCTAATATGGAGTAACACCAGGGAAACCAGACCAATGACAATGGCCTTGTATGGGATGTGACCTTTTACGTTATGTAAGACAGAGCCATGTCCAGGCTGGCAGTCCCGAAGATGTGTCATAATGGTGCCGTAGAAGTAGTCAAAGCCATGAGAGTTAGGATGGTGGCAGTGGTCGGCACTGTCTTCACAGTTGAGACCCAGGTGCCATTTCCCTAAAAAAAAAAAAAAAAATATATATATATATATATATATATATATATATATACATTAAAGCAAATAAAAACAAAGCAGCAGAATATGGTTGTCAGTTATGTATTTGAGTCCTTAATATGGTTATGTCCACACACATTTAAAGGAGCTGTATGTAAGAAATGTATTTCAAATAATCATAAAATGGCCCTGATGTGTCACTAGACATAAAGAAATCTAGCCTGACTACGTCAGACTTCCTACTTCCGCTAATTTCATTTCGCTCCTGCAGTCAGTCTGAGATAGCGGCCTATCTTTCAGTTTTCCACCGGCCTGAAAACAGCCGGCCAATCAACGAACAGAGGGCGGGCTGAGAGCCGTGACGTAGCCGCTAAGCGCCGAGGAGTACATTGTGGGTTAGAGAAATCGAAAACCGAATACCGAAACAACCGCAGAAATGGGAAACAAGACACGGGATGCAATTCGCTCTGTTATGGAGAACATTCCGGGATTTTTCAAACTGAAGCAAAAGTCGTTTACAGCCATGTTCACTCCGGTATTTCGCTCGCATCATCAGTGTTTACAGCTAGGACCGGCGCGTGCAGACGTTTTTATTTTTGCAAATCATTATAACAAGGACAAATATTAACACTTCAAGCTTAGGCATTTAGGCTACCCATTTTTTTTCAGGCTAATTGTAGTAATGACGGATCAGACCTGTTTGGCCATAACTATATGCATAACTATATAAGGACATAACTTACAACGTCAGTTTTACGGCCATGACAATGATGACAATAACGTCGGTTTCCTCGGCTGTGAACGCTCCTGGCGCGCTCTTATTATCATAATAATAATCCACCATATTTCGTTTCGACATCCAGCTGCATTAGTCCCAGATAATTGATTCATGAACAATCTGTTCATTGTGTATGTCACGTGACAAATGAACGTAAGACTCGGAAGCAAGGTAAAGTGATTATTTATGTTCCTTGTAAATCATTTTTTACTGCATTATGATTTCTTAATTCAGAATATGATCAACATTGCTTAGGTGGATGTGATCAGGGAATTTGGCTGTTAAAATGATAACATTAAGCCACAAACAAAATGACTCGAACGACTCAGAAAATCAGTAAAATGAACTTCCTATTCATGACTCGCGAGAGCAGCGGCTCGGTCTCGCCCTCGATCGCGGCGCTGCGGGGTGGCGGAAACTAAATCATTCATGACTCGTGAGAGCCATAGACAGTAAAGGGTGAGAGCAGGGGCTCGTCCTCGCAGCGCTGCGGGGCGGCGGAAGCTAAATCAGTCATGGCTCGTGAGAGCAGGGCAAGCCGACATTGTGGGGCGGCCGCAACTCAGTAATTCATATAAATAACCTAGTTTGTGAATTGTTCATTCCCGGTTGGCACACATTTTGCAGCCCTTACAAAAGCGCCGCTCCCTGTCTACAGTGGAAGTTCGATCATAGATTTGAGTTCGATGCATAATGTCTCGATGCGGCCATGTCGGCGCATAACATACGTCATAAATAAAATGATCTGATTGGCTTACGGGTAACCAATGATTTTAAACTTTAGAGAAGCGCCCCCTTGCGAGAGAGAAAACACTTCTCTATTATGCCATTCCAGACTCTGTCTACGAAGCAAAGTGAAGTAGCAGAGTCTGGTATTACCAGGCTATAAGAAATCATGTTCATTTCAAATACTTATAACACTGACAACAGATGTCCAGCCAGGATATTGTCATTTAAAAAGTGAAGTTGCAGCCCTCAACTGTCATGTTGTGTTTTGGTCTGATGCTCCACCCTCACGAAGTGAGTAGTGTTGCAGCATTCAGGTTGCCAGCTCTGCTTACCACAGCTGCAGCTACAAACGGGTGGGAGAATAAATATTTTGGATCCTGCAGCTTATCTGGCAACCTCAAGCCAGGGGGGAGGGGGAGGGGATACACTGCTCTACAGTAATTTGAAACTGATTGCAGTACCAGTTTCGGCCACAATCTTACATACAGCTCCTTTAAGCTATTTATGGGAGTGACAACAACATTCTTTAAAGGGTAACTAAACCCTAAAAAACAACTGTTTTTAGTTACTGATCTGTAAGAATGGGGCTTTATTACTGCTGTTCATTAATTCAAATAACTTTCTTGATATTTGGGTATAAAGTGTTTTAATTCTACAATATATGGTGTAAAAACGTCTGAGCGCTGCCCTCTTCAGGTTGAGCGGTGGCTACAGCAGTTGAATTTTGCTATTGGATGTTTGCGGTGGAACGTGACGTAAGCAGTGGCAGGTGTCATAAGCAGGTTCCAGCTCACCACACCTTTGGTACGAGCTACCACGCCCTTGGCAGTATAAAAACAATCTTGTTTTGTCAAAACCAGACAGATTAGATCCTTTCTAACAATAGAGGCTGCTAAGATATTTCTACATGCCCTTATCTTCTCACATATCGCATATTGTATCACCTGCTGGGGGCAGGCTAGCCAAACAACAATTAGGCCCTTAGAATCCCTGTACAAACAGGGCCTGAAAATTTTTGACAAAAAGCCACTCAGGCACCATCACTGTGACATACTTCAGAAGTATAATCTATTAACTTTTGAAAATTTTAGATTATTCTCAAATTTATGCACAGTTTATAAAATTTTAAAAGGTCTGGCCCCCACATGTTTGCGTGAGTATATATGTTACCGTGGCTCTGTGCGGACCACTAGAATAGTTTCCGTATATAGCTGTACTGTACCCTTTCGCTATTCAGCATTTGGGCAGGCAGCCTTTTCTATCAAAGCTGCAATACAATGGAATATAATTCCAGACAATATAAAAACATGTGATTCGTTTGGGCACTTTAAAGATAATATAAAAAAACATTTAAAATTTTCACAGCAATGTATCCACTAATTTATTATTGGGTAATATTATTTTTCAGTCACATTTACCTCTTTATTATAGGGTTGAGAAGGGGTTGTGGGTGGACATATCGTTGTATGTTGTGATTTTAGTGTGTGAGTGTGTGTGTGCGTGTCAGTGAGGTCATTAAGTACATGTTATATGCTCTTGAAGAATGTTTGATGTTTTATGTTTGATATGCCACATATTCTTGAGTAATGTTGATATTTTAATCTGTGTTGTATGTATCTGTATTTATTTGTGCCGGGGGACTGCAGATGTAAATTAGCCTAAGGCTAGCTCTTGTGTAATGCATCAAATGTTTACATTTATGTTATTAATTGCACATGGTCCCTTTGAAATAAAAATCAATCCAATCCGAATTTAACATATTTGCAAAATTGTAGTATTGCATATAAAATGTGCGAATAAAGCACCGTTTCTATCCAGTGAGTCGAAGAGAACAAAATCGTCACTTCCTGATAAAATGGCAATAAATATCACTAAGAAAAAAAGTAGAAGGAGAAGCCACTATATATTAGCCTGACTATGTCAGACTTCATACTTCCACTCTATTTAATTTCACTTCTGTACTCAGTCTGAGACAGCGACATGTCTCTTAGTTTTCCTCTGGCCTAAAAACAGCAGGCCCAATCAACGAACAGAGGGCGGGCTGAGAGCCGTGACATAGACGCTGAGCACCGAGTTTAAGATTGGGGAAAGCGAAAACGACCGCAGATATGGAGACACAAGATGCAATTCGCTCTGTTGTGGAGAATATTACCGGCATTTGCAAACTGAAGCCCGAACAAGAAGAGTGTTTGTTAAACATCTTGAATGGAGGTGATGTTGTGGCCGTACTCCCGAGTATCTCGGTCTCTTATCTGTCGAGCTCGAACTAGCATGCTTTTGACACGTCAGTGTCTGCTTTTTTTCCCAGTTCTTAAAGGGGTGGTTTACTGCTTTTTTTTCTTTGCATAATTGTCTTTATGGGGTGCAATATAACATGTATTCGTGTTTTTTTCTTTTTTAAAAAGTCTTATTTTTCATAAATTTCACCTTTATTGTCAGCCGCGTTCTCCTCTGTCATATGAACGACCGGTTGACTTCCTGATTCTATGAAACCACTCCCTCAGAAACAGGCAGTGGGCTCTGATTGGTTAGTTTGGGCCGGTGTGTTGTGATTGGCTAAACTATAGTACACGTTGTCCGGATACTTAACGCCTGTGGCGAGGGGGGCGTGGTTCAGCAAAGTCTGTAGTGGGAGAGCAGGGATGGAGCCGAGCGGTGAATAAGTGGGTCAAGTTCAAATGACAAGCAGACCGTGCGGACGGCAGTTTGAGAGAGAGAGAGAGAGAGAGAGAGAGAGAGACTGGCAGCTCATTCACGTATCCTATGGTGTCCTGTTACCGAATGCGTGACATTTGAAAGCTGTATTCAGCGGGAAGAGTTTTCACTGCGACGGTGTTCGACAAAACTGTTTCCAGTGGGAATGTACTGTATTATCACAACTGTAACCATTTGAAGCTGTGTTCAGTGGGAAGAGTGTTATCGCCTATTATTTATATTTGCCTTTGACATTGTGAGTTAACTTTATTTGAGCGTGACCTTGCACTGTGAAAAGAGTTGTGCAAGTAAAAGTGCAAGAGTCCCAGTATTCGCCAACCCTGTGTCTCCTTCCATCACCCACACATAATGAAACTGTTCTTTCATCACAACGACCATTACCTTTACAGGCGAAAGTTGCATGTGTATTCCAATCAAATGTACATAATGGTATCAATACTGCAGTATGAGTATGAGCCAGAATCAAGAGAGTCAAGCAGAACCTCAGCAAACACGGCTCTTAACGTTTCTGAATGGTAATTTGCCTATATTTTTTATATAACTTTATACACGTTTGTTTTACACAATAGCTTTGAACTGAATGGCTATTACATACACAAACAGCGTTGACATTGGTTTACGTTCTTTATCAAAGCGAAAAAAAAATGAGTACATATACAAATTCAGGTCCAAAATGTTTGTATGCGTTTGTCGTAGACACGAAATAGCACAACTAAGTGGATATAAAGCCAGCGCTGGCATTTGACAAAACTAAAATATTACATCTGAAACTATACATGC